CAAACCCAGGTGAGTATGCCACCACGACGTCTTTCCTCAGTCTTATTTCAGCATTCGCTCCAATGCTTTACAGATTCTTGTTACAGAAGGCTGCTCAACGCTCTGACCAAATTATCCAGCTCACCAACAGCACTCAAGATCTGACGTGACAGCAACACGCTGGCTACTGACGGCCTATTTCATAGCAAGAGCCATTGTAACCCAGGCCGCACACAGACCCTCTCTGTTAAGCTGGAGAGCACTTTCCATGCTGATTTAGTAAGGTTCTTATGACTACAGACTAACCTTTCATTTAAAAATAGATGCAAAATTGTTTCCCCACACAGGATAAAAATAGACAGCGGTGTTCTTAGAACCCACTTACAACCTCATAAAAAGACTAAAGAAACAGTTTAATGGAACCTGACAGCTACAAAATCTTAACAGAAGGCACACTGAGGAGTCACTAATAAGTGCCAAGACAATCACAAGGCACTCTTCAAACATGAAGACAGCTGTATGTCAGAGACAAGCAACGTGGACAGAAGCTATGGGCCACGCTGCACAAAAATGATGCAAGATTTAGAGGTCAGAATTCGTCACAGAACTCACGCGCTTTATGCGCTAGCCACCTCACCTCCCAGTTATAACGGGCACACCATGTGCAGCCACTCGAAGAGAATGGCATCCTTATCAGATCTTTCTTTAGCTTTTGATTTCAAATGCAAGATGAAAAATAACCACAGAGAGGTGGGTGGAAAGTGCCAGTGCCTTCAAGTAGTTCTTTTCCCACAGCTAAGAAAAATCCATATGCAGTCAGACTGCCCAGGCTGCAACATGAATTTGCTACAGCATACAGAAACTCAAACATTTTTGTCTAAGAAGTCACTAGTACTGAAACACCTCTATTATTTCATGCCTTGGTCGTTTCCTATTACTGCAATTTAGTTCAGATCACATTCCTGTGATGCTGCAACTGAGGTCCCATTTGTTTTGCCATCTGTACCACATGCGATCCAATGCTACAGGCCACGTATGTTTTGGACATTCAGAAAATACCTGAATAGTTTCAAAGAGTGCCTTGCAATATACATCCCTTTTGAAACCGCTCAGAATAGTTTCTTTTGCAAGAGATGGCCCATATAAGAAAGCTTAAATATTCTCTTCATCTCAACTACACGGAAACGTTAAATATATGCTTTTCTCTCTCCAAATTCCTTACTGGAGAGATTCGTACGTACCTGGCACAAAGACTGTCTCGCCTGGTTTCTGTAAGATTTCCAGGGGTTTGAATTCAGGGGGCCAGGTGGGGAGCTGCGTTCTAGGATAGATGACATTGAACCAAGTGATGGCCTCATCCTGCTGGTTCCCTCCCTCTTCTCGCGTCACTTTGATCAGCTCTCTGGGAGTGCTGGTAGGGAACAGGCACCAACGCTTATGTCCCTGGACTAAGGCGTTCCACGCACTAGTTCCCAAGGGATCGATGTGAATTCCTGTTCCAGAACGAGGTGGGCCCATCACAAACCATCTGCATGGGAGGAAAAAAAATCCTTTAGTCACAGAGCAAGCACGTAGCTACCTTCTCTTTTCTACATATTAGACAGAAAATCACAGCCGTTCATGTCACATACAGTTAGAAATCAAGGTAGGTACAGTTCCTTAATTTATCTTCTTGAGACTGTTTGGCTCATGCTATAGCAAAAGACATTACATGGGTTTAACCTAAAAAACAACATGAATTGGGACAGGAATGACTCTGGGACACGAAAGGGAAGACAGCTTTTTAAAACAAAATACAGCTACGGAATATAAACAGTTCTTCAATAAAATATATACTTATTTCAAGGTTTATGAATGTGATTAAGTCGTAACAGCCTGCATTAGGATTCTTACTATGCAGGGGGATTCTCCTAATCCTATGTTTTTCTAAAATCCGCTACTCAAACGGCTCCAGAACTGCAGAACGAGGAACAAACAGAAGCCAATGTAAGTAAGGAACAGAGCAAAGTTACGCAACCCTGGCCTCCCTCTGTGCCTTCTGTTCATTTACAACAGGCTTTTCATTCTAACATTTAACTAGTTGGAGCTTATTCTCCAGTGACCATTCAGGATTTGGTGTGTATATTCTCATTCCCCATTTGCAAGGTTTATTTCTCCCTATGGAGAACTTTATCTGCTACACACGTTTAACAGCAACAGCACCTTCAATTGCTCATTTCCCCTGTAACAGAACAGTAAGTTCTACCATACCAGATAAAGCAGCGTAAGTGAGGTGACTTAATATCAGGCATCAAGAGGAAAAAAAATGGCAATAATTGTTTATTGGGCAGCAGAAGGGGTAGAAACCAAAGCGTCAACAAGACCCCTCCATCGCACGGCGGCAGGCGTGGCGACAGGCAGGCGATACCCAGCAAGAGGAGTTCAAAGGTTCAGAAAATACAGAAGTCCGCAAGCTCTCCATCTCCCCTTTCCAATGCAGGTGCACATTAAGCTGCTTTCCAAGTATCACTTGCTAGCACCAACGGTAGGACTGTAAGTTTGGTTATCAGGCTGCGCTCCTCCTACTTCACAAAGGAGCCATTAAAAGGTAAATAGGCAGGTGTTTGTCACTTCTATTGTCAATTCACTCTTTAGATTCATATTAGCCTTGGAAAGCTAATTAAACCACAAGCAGAACAGTCAAAGCACTTACTAAGAAGTCAGAAGAAATTAAACACATAAAGATCTGTCTGGTACACAGACAGACGCACTGTTCAATACCATTTTTCTGCCTATAACCTGAATCTACACAGGCAGAAGATTTTAAAATCCTTATTTAGCAACACTATCATTTACCAGCATCTTCCTCCAGGCATTTAATTTACAATGAACATAATCCAGTTTGCCACAAGCCATCAAATTTACTGTTAAAAATTTCACAACCTGTAAATTCAATTTAAAAGCAAAAAAACCAGCCCCCCCCCCAACTAAAATAGCTGCTTCAGTAAATGGCTTCTAAAAATTCCTGCGTTTAAAGAGGAACAACTCCAATAAAGATGCTCTAAACAGCACGAGTTCTTACTTTAAGATCTGTACACTATCACACACCTCTCAATCCAGAGGTCAATCTGCAGTGCCTGTCCTGACGATATGATTAGAAAGCACCACCTCCTGTTGGATCCTCAATTATGCTCTTAAACTACTGGATACTCTTCATCTGTTTCTGTACGGAGATGAAACCCCTAACCCCAGGAGGCATCAGTGTGCCTTCTTGCATCACTCATCTCTCAAAAAATGCTAACGGCCTCAAACAAACCCACATTTTCCAGAACAAAGTACAAGAGTTGTGAATACCAAGATCACAAGCAAGGAGCCCAGCACATGCCTGTAGGTGGGGAGGGTGCGGGAGAAAGAGATATCAACATAAGTGAGTCACCGCCACATTATCTAGTTCACCTATAACTTGGATAAATGATTCCCAGCTCTGCAAGCGTATTCAATTTCTAATAGAGACTACGCCTGGTGTGTTTTTGCATTTGATCCTCTTATGTTCCTCTTAGAAGTGATTTATAAAAAGGGTCTGTTACAACACGGTAAAAACACCTACTTCGGTGATCTTAAATAGAATTAGTTTCACGCTTCACTCCTGCAAAAGCACAACTGGACTATAGACAAGTGAAAGACTGCAAAGAGAAGAGTACCGTTATTCATTCCTTGTTCTACTTTACTAAAAAAACCCGAAACAATAGGAGACCCACATCACAGCCTCGTGTCACTCAAAGGGCAAGGCATTCTCTGACAATTATAATGTGGCTGTAAAGACTTTAATTACTTGGGAGCACTCAGCTTATGCTCATACTGCTATGAAGCGTTATATTAACATAGCTGGAAATCCCTTTTGTATCTAACAGCCCAAGCACAAGGTTGTCGCATCTGATTTCAGGAATGAAGTGTCATTACAATCCCTTTTCAATCAGATGCAAACAAAGAGTTGAAAAGACTACATAGATGTGAAACATTGTTCTCTCTCAAAATCATCCGAAGGAGAGCTAAGAACTCGCCTGCACACTTTGTACTAATCTAGCTTAGGATCTTTACCTTAAAAGGACTGACTCATAATTAAACAAAATCCCGCTATGTACATAAGCCACCAGTGCAAAACCCAGGAGCTTGTCCTGAGATACTTAACATTTGAAAGCCAGAAGGCACACATAGCAAGAAATTAATTTTTGTAACTTTCAGTAACTATGTATTTTTTTTAAATCTAAGAAGTGAGGTAAACTGACTTAAAAAAAAAAAAAAAAAAAAGAAAAGAAAAAGAAGAAACCCATAAACTTGTAGTAACACTGGTGGCAGGACCAGAACTGTGATATGCAAATCTGCCCTTCCCTCCCTCTGGGTTACGGATGTATTTCAAAATAGCAGACGTAAAGCACTCTGTTTTATACAAGACAATCATACCTGTTTAGGAATAGCTAATGAGATGGAAAATACCTACTTTTACCTTGCTGTCACTGTACTGTACCTGTAAGGTGGCCTTCGTTTCTCCCCTGCATACTGAAACAGATCATCAGTGAAGAATTTGGGTACTTTGTAGTCCTCCAGGAGTTTCCTGCGCTTGGGATGCTCTCCATAACTGCTGTCAAAGATATAGAGCGGGCTGTCATCACGCGTGGTTTCCATATACTCGATGTAGTATTTCATCTTCATCTTCACAGAATAACCGTCATTGTCCTCCCCGCATTTGAACTTCTGGTTCCTATATTTGCGTTTGAGTCGTTCCAGAGTCCACTTCTCCTGGGCAGACCAGCCCAC